CCACCACCACCAAGGGAGCGGATGGGGAGGAGCAGAGGCCCAAGGGCACGAAATATGGCTCCCCTGTGGATGAGGCACCTCCAAGCCCCCTCTCCTCCTGTGCCCTCCTTAGGTTTTGGAGATTCAGGCCCATGACCTCCTAGATTGAGTCTAGCCATCTGCCCTGGTGTCTTCCTCTCTTCCTGCTTCCCTCTACCTTTCCTAGCTTTATTGTCTTTTCTTACCAATCATGCATGATGTGGCCAAAGTAGAACAGCCTCAACTCGATCATCTTGGCTTCCAGGGAGAGTTTGGGCTTGATCTGTTTTAGGACCCATTTGTTTGTCGTTTAGGCTGGCTGTCCGTGGGATCCTCAGACCTCTTCGCCAGCATCGCATCTCAAATGCATTGATTTTCTTCTTGTCCACTTTCTTCACCAGTGATGGGGAATACAATGAATTGGAAGATCCTCACTTTAGTGTTCAGGGTTATATCTTTAGGATCATCTCTAGTTCTTTCATGGGTGCCCTTCCCAATCCTAGCTTTGTTCTAATTCCTTGACTGCAGTCTCTGAGCAAGATTTGATCCAAGGTATGGGAACTCTTGACTATTTCAATTTCGTCATTATCTAGGATGAATTCTTGGAGATCTTTCCGCCTTCCTAATGCAACCCCCCTTAATCCTTCAACGGAGCAGTTCAGAAACCATCCCTTCCCCCAAAGCAACCACAGTCTAGACCCTAGTAGTTGCAAAGGTAGCTTTTTGTGCTCTTTGGACCCCATTCAGCGCTTATTCCACATTATCTATGTTGAAATGTATGTAGATCCTCTGTGATCATCCCTGATTTCCCTCTTCCTTTTTGCTACCTTCCTCATCTTCATCTCCTGCTTTGCCTCTTCCAGCTCTTTCATCTCCTCCTTCCCCAAATTGCCTCCATCTTGGCTAGTTTTAGGTCCAAAACACACACTGCAGAAACAATCCAGTTTGAGACCACTTCAATTGCCCTGGCTCAGTGCTAAGAATCCTGGGAACTGTAGTTTCTTGTGGTGTCAGAGCTCTTTGACAGAGCAAGCTAAATGATCCCAAAACAACAATTCCCAGAATTTCCTAGCATTGAGCCAGGGCAGCTAAAGCAGTCTCAAACTGGATTATTTCTCCAGTGTGTTTTGGACCTTAGCCCACTTTCCACTTGTCCTAGGGTGCCTTAACCCAAGAAGTAAACACTGCTGGGGCAAAGCCTTTTGGTGGGACAGTGCCCATCCTTTTGGCAGGAAAGTGCCAGCTGTCCTGGCAATCTGTGGGGCTACAGACCCCTCCTTCCCTCCACTGGCCAGGGCTTTGTGCGTTGTGTAATTCTATGTGTGTGTGTGTGTGTTGATTTATTCTGGGTACAACCCAGTCTATTCTCTCTCCCTCTGCTAAAAATTGAGAGAAGGATGGGGACAGAATTAGCAAAGCAACTATTGGGTGGGTGGGGGTGTCTTCTTTATATCCTTCAAACTGCTCTCCTCTTCCCCTGTTTTTTTGCTCTAGGGTTTCTTTCTGGCTATTCCCCAGACAGAACCTCTGGCCTGAATATCTGGGGAATAGACAGAAAGAAATCCTGGAGCAAAAAACAGAGGAGGCGGAGGAGAGCAAACCTAGCTGTTCTTCCTCTCCCCTTCTTCTTTCCCATTTTCCCCTCCCTCTTTCCCCAAATCGTGATGCCTCCAAACTGCAGTGCCTGGTTTTGGTTATGTCACTGCCAAGGGTAACCACGTTTCAGTGCAGTCCTGCTCCTTATCTCAGCTTCATTTGCTCACCTCTCCTTTCCCTCCACCTCCTTGTCCCTTTGGCTTATGCTTGCATCACAGATGTTCTGTTGTGTTGCAGTTGCATTAACCTGAATAAGCACTAAACCGGGTCCAAAGAGCACAAAAAGCTACCTCTGTACTTACTTGGGTCTAGACTGCAGTGTGCTTGTCTCTGCTTTTGGGGGAGGGATGTTTCTGAAGCACTCTGTTGAAAGATTTAAGGGGGTTTCATTAATTAGCCAGAAAGCTCTACAAGAATTCATCCTTGATAATGAGAAAATTGTAATAATCAACCTTTCCATACCTTGGATAAACATAAATCAGAACGGAGTCAAATTTAGAAGGCTAGGATTGGAAAGGGCAGCAATGAAAGAGCTGAATAAAATCCTAAAGAGCAAAAATATGACTGAACGCTAAAGTGAGGATTGTCCAAGCCATCTTATTTCCTGTCACTATGTATAGATGTGAGAGTGAAAAAGGTGGATAGGAAGAAAATAAATTCATTTGAGATGTGATGCTGAAGATTGAGGATACTGTGGACGGCCAAGAAGACAAACAAATGGATCCTTGAACAGATCGAGCCTGAGCTCTCCCTGGAAGCCAGGATCATTTAATCGAGGCTATCGTATTTTGGCAGTTAACAACAACAATTAAATTCTCTGTGGTAAACAGAGAGCGCGGTGCTGATTAATATTTCAACATTTGTCTGAGTTTGGTTATCTGCTCTGCAGGCCATTACAGTACTCTGTAGGTTGAAACCAGCTTTTTAATTAAATTGTACTCCTTTGGGCAAGGATTTTCTAACATTTTTTCCTCTTTTGCTATGGTGCCAAGAAGCTTTAGAATAATGCTTTGTTTTTAAAGGAGCAAAACAAAAAAAATAAGGGCCTTTATATAACATGGGTAAAATGCATTGCAAACTGCAGATGTATTTGTAACGCTGGATGAATCTCCTGCTGTAATTCATCCTCATACTGTGCTAGTGCTGTGGTGGGCACCCTGCAAAAGTTAAGAGGCACAGCACAGGCTTGCAAACCTCAGATATTCTAGGGAGGAA